AAACTCATCACCAATATCCAATTGTCCATATGTTCTAATTGTTGTATTTTTAATTTGCAGACAAGCAGCTAAGCTTAACCAAGGTCTTGGAGCTTCGCCAACCCAGCAGGCTGTTGTTCAGAGTTTTTTGAGCAATTTTGATTTGGTAAGAACAAAGTTAGCCATTAGACATCATCTAGCATAAGTTGGCTATTATATATCTTATTGTGATCTTTTTTTACAGGCCATCCAAGTCCTTGATCGCGCAACGCGTGTGAATCCATCAGCTCCGATGTTTATTTTACTGGGTAAAACAAATATGAAGGCAAAACGTTTCCCAGACGCCATCGTCAGCTTTAAGAAAGCAATAACTGTCATGGTAAGCAGGACAAAGAACGGCTCATAGGTCTACGGTAGTTTGTTCACTGGCGACTGCAACACTTTGATGATGATGATGATGATGATAATCATAATGATGATGATGATAATGATGATGATAATGATAATGATGATGATAATGATGATGATGATAATGATGATGATAATGATAATGATGATGATGATGATGATAATAACGTTAATGATTTTACCTCTATAATATAAATTATTATTTATTATTTATTGCTTATTATGTACCAGACACCATGGCATACTCGTATGGCGATGCCCCTGGAGGCCGCCCCAGTTTACTATATGATTGGCATCTGTCACTCAGAGTTATTCGAGTTTCAAAACGCCTTGGATGCTTTCAACAGTGCCATCAAAGTGAACCCAGAATACGCCGAGGTAAAACCGAAAATACCTTTATCTAACTTTGCGTTCACCGGAAGTGTGCATTGACSGGAAGTATACATTAACCGGAAGTTCCTTTACCGGAAGTGAAACCTTTCGACGGGAGTAGAACATTAATTTTTTTGTTCGTATTGACAGGGCTTCTATCAAAGAGGTTTAACCAAGATGAAGCTTCGCTACACTAGAGGAATACATGATTTTAACAGAGCCCTTGCTATCAATCCCAAGCTATTCCAGGTAGCTTGGTTTGAATTTTTCCAGGCTAATTTGATTGATTTAGTAATRTGTCGAGTCTTTGCAGGCGTTTCTCAGTCGTGCAGCATATTATGGGATGAAGAATCGGTTTAGTAAAGGTATTATGAGCTGCAATGAAGCTATCAAACTGCAACCTAGAAGTGTTAGAGCTTACATGTACAGGTACRTACCGATTATAATAATTTATAGAAAATTGAAGGAATGGATGGGTCGTGTGCAAAAACACATTGAATGGATAATTCGATAAATAAGTGCAAAAAAGGAAGGGAATAAAATAAACAAGAAAATCAAAAAAAGAAAAAACCTAATAATAGTAAGAGTTGTATAAAAAAGATAAGTTTAACACCGTAAAAAAGTATGGGAAATAACTTACTGACGTTTCGGATGTCAATCCTCCGACTAAGGATTAACATCCGAAAAATCAGTAAGTTATTTCCCATACTTTTTTACGGTGTTAAACTTATCTTTTTTACACAACTGTTTCTTTAGAAACACCGACGCAGCTCACACTAGTTTACCGCTAGTTCCCACCATTTTAATAATAGTAAGAACGTGTACCTCTCTTGCAGTTCATAAAATGCAGTTCCATCCTGGGGACAAAAAATTGGATGATAAGAGCAAAATTCARTTGTTTTGACCTTCACATGAAGCTGCTTTGATGTCACATGTGATGTTGACAGTATAACAAACCGGTTAATCTAGTTTTGACCAGACAATGCAATACTAAAAAGTATTTCAATATTGTTTCCAAGGGGTGCACTAAAATATCACATCAAAGCGTACGGTCTTGCAGTGAAGGACCTTACTGAGGCCGTTGCCATTGATTGTCGTTGTTCTCTCGCATACTTCAACCGTGCAGTCTGCTATCATGGCATGAAATTCTATCAAAAGGTTGGTGCAAATATGTCATATGTTTATTCACATTTTTTACGCACCAAGTGGCCCCAAAACTGTGCATTTAGTTCTTTAACAGTGATCTTCTTGCGYACAGTTGACTCAGAACTGGATATGTATCACAGTGATTCATTTTACACGCGTGTTCACTCGCGCGTCGATCGCAAAAACATTCTACCCTCACTTCTATTAACTCCAACAGGCCTTGATGGACTATAGTACAGTTTTGTTGCTGGAAAACAAGCCTAATATCAAGGTATGGACATTCTTCAAATGAAAATAATGGAAATGTATAGTGCTGGGAAGGAGGTTAATCCGGATGAAAGACCCTTGGAAATAAATTCGGGAAAAATAATTTCCGACACCGCTTGGATTCGAACTCACGACCCTCGGATAGCCATTCCTCGTTCTTTTCAAAGAATAATAGAAGGAATGAATGGATGGGAGTAGAATTGGATGAAAAAGTGGATGGATGGGAGTGTGAATGGATGGATGGATGGGAGTGGAAATGGATGAATGGATGAGAGTAGAGATGGCTGAATAGATGGATGGATAGGAGTGGGAATGGATGAATAGATGGATGGGAGTGGGAATGAATGAATAGATGGGAGAGGGAATGGATGAACAGATGGATGGATGGGAGTGGGAATGGATGAGTGGGTGGACCAATGAATGAGTTTTAAGCAAGATAGATGGATAGAAAGAGATGTTTTTTGTCCAGGTCTCAGTCAATACGTTAGGTTTTATGATCATTGTCGCCTTGTGTTACTATTTGAGTCAATTTGAATCGTTTCAGGTTTTGCAGAATCGAGGTTTGTTGTATCATGAAATAAACGACACGGAAAACGCGCTGGAGGACTTCAAGGCTGCGGCAAAAGTAGGTTCAATTCGTTTTATATTTCTTGTATTTGCATTTCTCATCATTTCCATTGTGGTCAGAATAGTTCACGAATTCGTTTCATAATTCCGTATTTTGTTMTTGTTTAAGATATCTACCGTCGATCCATTGATCCGTCATGCCTTGGGCTACTGCTATCATAAGTGAGTATCAGGACGCATGCTCAGACCGTCTGGAAGTCCAGTCCTGCTCTCTTTCCACAGGGAACCCAAAGAAAGAAAAATCAATGCTTTGCTTGCCGCCCGAAGAGACTAACTCCCGTTTCAGACGTCGATCTTTTGTCGAGTGTAATGTAATTGGTGGAGTTGAGTTTATGAGCATTTTGTACTCTGAATTTATTGGCACTAGTAGATTTTGCTCAGTCAGACAAACTTACTACAGTTAACTCTATTTGAACGACCACTCTCGTGTGGTAAGCGACCATCTCCYGTAAGCGACTGCCTTTTAAATTTCCCATTTTGTTAATTCCCATATAAACTCTGTAAAAAAAACTTTTTCGTAAGCGACCATCTCTCGTAAGCGACCACTTTTTCCTGATCCCGAGGTGGTCGCTTAAGAGAGAGTTGACTGTACTCTAAACTGTAAATATCAATCGATGTAGACTGCAAACTTCTCGAGAACTTCATACAAGCAATTAGATTAGACGCGGCAAAAGATCGACGTCTGAAACGGGCCTAAGATTGGTTTGTTCTTTTAGATAAATCTGTTTGTCTACACTTTGCAGACTTAATCGATTAGAAGAGGCTGTTGCTTCCTATGACGATGCGTTACGTATCGATCCTTTCTTCGTGGAGGCCTACAACGGTCGGGGTAACGCCTTGATGGATTATGGGCACGAACAGGGGAACGTACTCGGAAGGTAAGAGCAATGGGGTCATCTTGTACACCAGTCTAGCGAGCACAGCAAAATGTTATTCCGGAAAAGTCTATGTGGATTTTATATGATGTCTGACGTTTTTTATGGCATCTGACCGTTATAGTGCAAGCCATATGTTTTCGTTGTTAACCCGATTCATGATGATGATGATAATGATGATGATGATGATGATAATGATGATGATGATAATAATGATGATGATGATAATAATGATGATGATGATAATAATGATGGTAATAATAATGATGATGATGATGGTGATGATAATGATGATGATAATGTTATTTTTTAGTATGAAAATCCCATTATGGCAAAATATAAATATTTTTAATGACAAAACCACGATTTTAAGAATTTCTCAATGTTATTATTCATTAGGCGAGATTACCTCAAAGCCCTTCACATCAACCCACGATGCCTTTCAGCCCGTGTTAACCTGGCATACAATCTTCAGGTAAATGGTTATCGAGTTAAAAACTACAGACGTCAGACTTGGGTAATGTTTGTCCCCCCTCAGACCACCACTTGGATGTACACGGACACAGTCACAGACACAGTGTCAGTCATAGACATCTCAGTCATAGACATAGACACAGTCACATACACAGTCTCAGTCATAGACATAGACACAGTCACATACAAAGTCTCAGTCATAGACATAGACACAGTCACAGACACAGTTTCAGTCATAGATATAGACGCAGTCACAGATACAGTCACAGTCTCAGTCATAGACATAGACACAGTCACAGACACAGTCTCAGTCATAGACATAGACACAGTCACAGACACAGTTTCAGTCATAGATATAGACGCAGTCACAGATACAGTCACAGTCTCAGTCATAGACATAGACACAGTCACAGACATAGTCGCTAATAAAAAGCCTCTTCCAATCGGTCTGATGAATGTGATAACGATCGCTCATGACAACTATATTATGTTGTTTTGTTTTGTTTTCAGGTGGAAGGAAAATTTCAAGATGCTTGGAAACAGTTCTCTGCGGCCATCGCCATGGATACAGGTAAATATAACAATTTTGAATATCTATGATATTTCCAATTGTTGAATTAGTCTGAGTATGATATGTACAATTATTGGTCAAGGCGTAGTATAGTTTGAAGAATTCTTGGTTGAGGCTGATTGTGATATGAAGAATTGTCGATAAGAAGAATTATTGGTTGAGGCTGAGTATGATATGAAGTATTGTTGGTTGGGTTGAGTATGATGTGAAGAATTATTGCTTGATGCTGATTATTATGTCATAACGAAGTGTCGATGGAAACTGACAGATGTCAATYAATGTTAATAGCATGTCAGGCTGCACTGGAGGGAAGAGCTGTCATTAATCTTCAAATGAGCAATACTTTTGGTGCGTTGGTTGATCTAAACGACGCAATCAAGGTACTTATGCTAAATGATTAAAAATTCATTATGAAATAACTCTTCTAAAGCTATTTATATTAGAATRAATTGAGTGTTTGTATGTTTTTAGATCTCCAAAACAGCTGAGCTTTTGAACAATAGGGGCGTGGTCCATCAGGTACGTGATGTTATCGTAATTCCCTCGCTTTTCCAGTTTTCTTCCCTCCCTGCTGCATGTTTCCTCTCTACCTTTTTCAGTTTTTCCATGTGAAATTCCCGTCTTTCATCCCATCTTTCATCCATTCTTTCCCATCTTCCATTTCCATTCAAAAKTATTTTTTCTCGACACTTACTTGCTTTCGCCCACGTCCCTTCCACCTCCTTCATTTCTATTCTCTTTCTATTCCCTTTTTTTAAGAATCTTTGTTGATATCGTTTCAGTTCATGAACGATTACGTGAATGCTGTTCGTGACTATCAGGCTGCKATAAGACTAGAACCTTCGTACGCCTTGTCGTACTACAATGCTGGGAATGTTTACTTTAARCAAAGRCAGTTTAAACAGGTATTATGGTTAACACACTGCTACACTTCCTCACCCATTTTCTGAGAAATCGATATCAAAATGTTTCGTTTTGTTTTTCCTTTTTTTCGTTTGGTTTCGTTTTATTTGTTTCGTTTTAATTTGTTTTGTTTCGTTTCGTTTTAATTAATGTTTCGTTTTAATTTGTTTCGTTTTAATTTGTTTTGTTTCGTTTCGTTTTACATAGAAATGTGATTTTGTTTGTTTTTAGGCGCTGAGTTACTATGATAGAGCGTTGTCATGGACACCAGACGATGAATCGTTTGTTCTTAACAGAGCAATAACAAAGGTAGGATTTCTAAAAGAATCATTACCGAGTGATTATCGATTGATCGTCAAGTAAATATCGACTGTTTATTGGAATATTCCGAGTCAGTACCGAATGATTTTCAAAATTAAATGATAGTTGAAGAATCGACAAATACATGGCGACGGACCTCCGACTGATTACGGAAATATACCGAGTAGTGACCGAAAGATTAGCGATTGTTAATAGATTAACAACAGGTATTTTCTGGTGTTTAAGGTGTTACTTCGTGATTCAAAAGGAGCCATTCATGATTTTAACAAAGCTGGTTAGTATAATGATAAAGAAGAAAAGTAGAAAGGGATATTGTTTTATTTATTCATTGTTTTATTTACATTAATTATCACATCTTTTTCAGTGGAACTAAACCCATATGCTGCGCATGTGTACTTCAACAGAGGAAATCTGTACGCATCTCTGAGAAAATATAAAGAAGCTGAAGATGATTACACGAGAGGTAATCGATCACGACTCCTTACCGAGTAATGGACGACTCTTTTCCGAGTCATTACCGAAGTAATTTCGAACCATAACTTAGTTTCTCGACTTTTTCCGTACTCATAGTGTACCAACCCGTCTCTGAGTGATTGGTGCCGAATCTAATATCGACGTACCTTTGCGTTTTTTTGCGAACGATTGATTTCCGACTGATAACCGAGTGTTAACTTAAAATGCGACTGATTACCGGGTAATTACCGACTAGTCACCGAGTAATTGACGACGAATCACCGAACAATTGCTGATATGATCTAGTAATTGATTATCAGTAATTGATTATCAGTAATTCCCGATTGATCACCGAGTAGTTTCCGAGTATTAAACGAATAGTTAATCTATATTTTGTAGCTCTAAGTCTGTGTCCTGGTGATGCATTGGTGTACAAGAGAAGAGCGGATGTGTTAGGCAAGCAATCCAAACGGGACGCCGCCATTAAAGACTACAAAAATGCCATCATTATCAAGACTCGTGCTACCAACAAGAAGGGGTGAACCGATCATATTGTCGAGTATACAGCTCTTTTAAAAAGGTTGTCGGAAAAATAGGAAAACCACGACCGAAAGGTATTTTGGGTATTGATTATTGATGAATATTCTCGCCCATCAAAGGCCTTAATACTGTTGATTCTGTGTAATAAAGATTTTCAACGATGGTCCTTTTTTTGAGTCGTCTTTTTTTTTGAGCATGTGACTAAAAGTCATCCATGATGACTAGCAGTAACCTTCGGTCGTGCTTTGTCCATTTTTTTTGACAACGTTTTTATAAAGAGCTGTGTTTTATTTATTGAAACTTCTTACATTTGATTGTTTTTTATTATCATAAATTATTACTCCACGATAAAGTATCGATTGTTTGTCGATTCGTTATTGATTTGCTAACGGATGATAAATCCAATCAATGACGAAGTGTTATCGATTATTTATTACATTTGTCGATTCAATCTTTATGGTATATGCTTAGAGATTCGTTATCGGTAAGAGCACGCAGTTATCAACTATTGTTTATCARTTATCGATTGGGGCGACCCGTTATCGATTAGAACATATTCACGATGTGGATCAGATATCGATATGCGTCTTTTTTTTATCAAGTCATTGTACAGTTTTTATATAAATTATGTACAAWATGTATATTAAATATGATGTTTTTATAAAAACTTCTAGCTTATATTAGTGTAAGRAAACTGTCGAACGACGTTACAGTGAGCAACCGAACTTAGAACGAACGAACTTACGAACTAACACTGCAGTCCACGTGGGAAGACATCGCAGCACACTTTAACCAATCAGAGAGCTCGTAAGATCGAATAACTTCTATAAGCAKGGTCATCAGCCAATGAGAGTGTGCGTTATATCTCAAAGCGGGGTAATGATGAAAGAGAGTGGTTACCTTAAAGCACCGCACTTTAACCAATTTATAGAATACACGGAGTAACACAGTAATCATATATTTTATTATAATAGCAATAACATACAGAATGCTTAAGTATATCCCAATAATTATTCACAGTGAAATTTGTCTTGATTGCTGCATCGTTATCAGACGAACATTTTCATGCAGGAGTTCTTAAATAGTAAATTATTTTGTTATTTTTTTATGCCATAGCTGGATTGCAAAAACTATATTAGAATGTATAGTTCCACGTTCTGTATACCTGATTTCTGAAATCATTATTTACTGTATTTGAAAAAGGTTGTCSCAATGAAGTGTGATTGCACGAGCGCAAGTCACTGTGGGAATGCCTTTTTTATTTTGATAGATGCTCTTTACTTATCCGCAGAAAACTCATACAAACCCATCTATCCATCGCTAAACAGATAAACAGAAACAAAAGTATTGCCCGTTCTGAAATTCAAAAGGGGACTGGTGACTAGTCACAAACGCGATACCGTTTAAAGCAATCAAAAACAGACACCAGGACAAGAAAGAGCATACTACAATTAGTAAAGCTGCTGAGTTTGAGAGTGTTCAGATTAATAATTAAAGAGTTTCAAGCGTTTAAAACTCGAAAAAAATACAAAGAATGTATGGAGTTTTTGAGCAGCGTCCCCAAAAACCATACATTCTCTCCTTATTTTTACAAATTTGAAAAAATTCCTACTCGGTGAATGTTCAAGCAAATATGCTCAAACTTTAGAAGAACACTTATTTTAGTGTGGTCTTTCATGTGGTGAGGTTCATTTTCGATGMATGTAATATTTTCACACTCGTTCCCAGTCTCCTTTTGAATTTCGGAATGGCCAATTGAATACCCATTAAGTTGATCAGCAATATTGTTATCAATAATCATTACCCATAGGGACCTGCGGTCGTGCATTCATAGCGCGTGGACGATCTTTCTTAAATAGATGTTGTTTTGGAGATATAACAGAAAGCTCTCTACCTCTTCGTTGGTTTAGATTTCAACTCAGATTTCTGATGTTATAAATGATTTTGCCCCGATGATTATCATTGTGCCTGACCGCTATGTATTTAGTCGTCTGCTGTATGCCCGGTGTATCAGCCGTCTTAGCAATTCGGTAGTTTCTGTTACATTTGATATTGTTACTTAAGCACAACAGCCTCTGAAGTAATCATAGTATTTGCTTTAGTATTGCGGCAGCTTTACTTTCAACTGATAGGAAATCGAAATCCCTGATCTCCTTAGCTTCAGTCTGTCGTCTTCAAACCGCAGACAACATTTCACTAAAAWCTAAATTAAAATGAAAAACTTGTCGTGTTTGCTTCGAGCCAGACAATCTCTTGATTATATCACTCTAATATCATCTAATCTTTTACAATCTTGAAGTGCAAAGCTTTCACTTAATATAAGCGAGTTGAGAAATAATGCGATAATCTTTGCCTCAAGCCAAGTGCAAAATAACAGGTGTCTGTTTTTTGTTTGTTTGTTATTCCTACATAAGAGAGACCTTTCTCCGGATCAGTCACATTACTCATATCTTTAATTAAGACGACTGTAATCCATCTTATCATAGAAAGGAACTAAGGAAGACTAACTTTCAAAACTCCAGTAAACAATTCGTATCTTTACTGCAGTTTTTATAGTTGACTGTTAATGAAACGAGCGCTATTTCGACACTTGAATATACACGAAATTCAGGTTTTTCTCCCTAATGACGTCATGCGATGTTGGGCCAGATGCATCATGGGATAGACGACAATACAAAACTGAATCCACGTTGTTGTGCGACTGTGCTGCGAACAATGAGCATTTTATATTTCTTATATAGGTTTTTTTTGTGTGCAGCCATTTCATTTTATAATGTACTTTAAAATCATTCTAGGATTAATATCGTAAAGTAAATTCATTCTCAGAATCAATACCATGATGCACTTCGCCAAAACAAACATGACGTCATCATGAATACCATGATGCACTTCGCGCAAACAAACATGACGTCATCAATACCATGATGCACTTCGCCAAAACAAACATGGCGTCATTAGGAGAAAAGACCATCGAAAAAGGACTAAGTTTATAAGGTTAAATTCTGGATTTGTTCTTACCATATAGCTATTACCATAACGATTATATCACACTACTCAGGTCAATAAGTATTTCCTAGTTGACTTTGCTATTGCAATTATTGCCTGTACAGCAGCAGAAACGCACGGAATCTCGGGATGTCTTTCTCGTCTTGCATTGTTTGCTTAAGGGACACAGTTGTAGATTCTGTAACCAGCATCCCTTGCGAATCACCTTTTTAAAAAAGACAGATTTGTTTACTTCCAACCCTTAAAATGATTAACATAGAAACCAGACGAACCCCGAGCGTTCAATGATAAATACCTGTGAATATTTGCCTGGTAGGTATGAAAAAGATTTTCTATTATTGCACGCTTAACGGTTGTCTAGATCGGCTACCTTTCAAGATGKCACAGGAAATCGTGCTGGGGACTRCTGTCTAGAGATTGAATCTATSTTTACGAACTCACCTTTTCTCCTACGGGAGTGCTGGATAAGACAGCAAAACAGTGTGACAATCTGTAGGGTTTAACTGGGCACCTCTTGTGTGTGGGGCAATTAGGTGGTTTACAGTAAGGATCGTACACTTCACATATATTACTTGACAGTAGTTTACTTTCTAGGAAAGAAATAACACGAACGTTCATTGGTTGACGTTTTGATTGAATGGGAGATAAATGGAATGAAGAAATGTAATTGATTGGAGTTAATTATGAATTGTAAAACGAACGTTCATTGGTTGACGTGTTAATAACCGGAGTTTTGATTCAATGGGAGATAAATGGAATGAACGGAAATGTAATTGGTTGGAGTTAATTATGAATTGTAAAATGAACGTCCATTGGTTGACGAGCATGTTAATAACACGAGTTTTGATTGGTTGAACTAAGAGACGTAATTTGTTTAATTATTGAGCATTATACGTACAGCCCAATAATAGAGTGCTTACACTATGTCCGGCATGAAATAAAATCTAAATAGTTACTACCTAATAGATCTTATTTAGTGACTATTTAGCCGATTTTATTTTATTTTTATTTCATACTGTAAGAACTTTAAAAACACCTCGCTATTACGGACACTAATTACTGTCCGTAAGGTGWCCGKTGTAATKGGGTTTGACTGCATTGTTTGTTTGTCGAAAGCAACGGGGTATTCTATGCTTACAGGAATATAAGGTGGATTTAATTTACTGATAGAAGAACTATCTTGATGACATTATCATAGAATCAAACCTGATTTAGTGAGTAGAGCGACCAGGATTACAGCCAGCTTGCAAACGTGCAAATTCATCTGGGGTTGAAAGGATAAGATAGGGAGTGATATGAAAGATATTGAAGAAAAACAAGTAAACAATCGAATGAATGGATGAATKAATGACAGAACAGCGATAAGATAGGAACATGTTTAGATGTATGGAGTGTTAAAGAAGATTTAGGAAAGTAAACAACGATTGTACAAACAA